ATCAAAAATTTGGGGTGCTCATGTCGATCATTGCTGTGCCGATAAGGGCGATAAGTCACGTGTTGCTGTGCCCGTAGCTTTTCCCCCCGATTTATTATTGGATAATTTCACGTGATCGAAAAAATTTTATTAGTAATTTGGTGGCGATCCTGGGGAAGTTCCGCTTTAGACGACCTCCATAAATAGCAAGATTATCAAAAATTTTTTTGAACATAATTACACCGCATTAGCAAATTAAGGACACTTCTAATTAGAAAGTTTAGTGTTAGCATTAGACCTGAGGTTTACGTGAATACTATGTATAAATAAATTTTTTAAAATTACATACAATTAGGTCTACGATAAATATGTAAACCCGGGTCTATCTAGAGATGTCTTTTCTAGTTATTATATAAAAAAGCTTTAAATGTCTTTAATTACCTTTTTTATTCTTGCTTTTTTATTAATTTTACTATCTTTCACTAGTTTTGTTGTCTTTTCTAGTTTCGCCACCTTTTAGCAGTTTCACCAGTTTTACCAGTTTCGCCACCTTTCGCCATTTTAATTTTTTTTGGCGAAAGTCGAAACTAGATTTCGCCATTCATCTGTGGCGAAACCTCTAAGTTTCGCCTGCTTACACTAACTGTAGTTACAATAATACGGCACATGTGATAATTGTGTTAATTTTCAAAATTAATCCTACCACCAACTATATTACTATTACTGTACTTGTAGACTAAGATAGATTGTCAGCTGAACAAAAACATGAGAAAATAATGAAAGCGCTGAGGAAATAAAGGTGTGAGAAAATGAAAAGTTTTGAAATGTCATGTCAGAGAAGTGATTGTTGAATGCGATCACAATTAAATAATAATGATAAAAATGATAAACCTATTTTTTTTGTTTCTGATTCTTTAAAAAATTATATTTAATTATTTTTTGCATAAATTTGTTATTGAGTGTAACAATAGTAAACCTTTGGAGAAAACTTTACGTGAGCACAATTTTTAAATGAATCAGTAGATTTTGTAATAAACTAGCTCTAGCCAAAGGTTTGTACAATAGTCTAATTGAAATCTATGTAACCATGTTATTATAATTCCATCAAATAAAAACTGGGTGCAGAGTTTACTTTTTTAAAAAATTATCTTATCGTTTATATATAAAGAGTTTATTAAATGACAGAAATTTTAATTTCTGATAAAATACGTTCATTTTCATTATGAATTTCATATGATATATCATATCAATTGTTCTTTATTTCTATACCATCAACTCATTTAAATGCATTAATGTATTTGTTCCTCAATCAAGAGCAGAACATTGTTGATAATTGATAATTTACTTTTTGGGTGGATGGTTTTATAATCCCACAGATAATCACTATGCAGATAGCTTCAAGTCCTTTTAATATATCCGACATTTCTTTAATACCTTGAACAGATCTTTCTTCACTTCCAGGTTTAACAAATCAAACTGGTGCATCAGCATGTGTTGTTAATATAAATGCTACTAGGTTAATTGCTCACATTGGTGGAACAATTTCTGTAAACCCTTTTATGACTATATTTGATGCTACAAAAAAGCAATGAGATACTAAATTAACTACCTCATATTCTTAAAACAAAAATTAAATATGTTTCGTGCATTTTTTTCATCAGGCAAAATATTTATTTATAGTGGATTTGTAAATAATACTGTGTATATACATATATTTGATATTTCAAAGTTATATTGGGTTCATTATGATCCACCTCATAACCTATTGCAACTCAATTATACAGTACAAATATTATTTTATTATGTTCTTCAATAATTTTGTATATTGGTGGATCTAATATTCTCAGGGTTGATGATTGGGCTTGTCCCCAGCAAACTGACCCTATGAAGACGGTATAATTTTATTACTACTGTATTTAATTATTTACATTATACAATTATTACTATTGTAATCAAACAGTTGCCAATTTATAATAATAGTAATGATGCTTGGGGCAATGTGGTAAGTCTTTTTTACTTTTATACATTTCGATTTAAAATAACTAAAGCTTTTATTATTATATTAAACAACATCTGGTCAAACACCTGCTAGAAGATGTAGACATTTAACAGTATTTGTTTGTAGGTATAACTATTTTGTTTTATTTTTATTAAAGATATCGTTTCATGTTTATTATATATTCATATATATGTAGCTCTACATAATTAGATTTTAATATTTTATGGAGATCAGGATACTTCAATTATCACACTTGATGTTTGCTAATTACCTTGCACGTTTACTTGGCCGACTTCTAATATATTAAATAGTAGTGGTCCAAAAAATGTTGAGATGGTATAGTTCTACATTAATTGGTGCTTGTGTGCTTATTGCATTTGACGAGTATTAATGTATGCTTATATACTCTAATCACGAAGAATTGTATATTAATTATCTGCGTTTAATTAGAGGTTATTTATGAGTTTTTTAACGATGGGTCTTCACCTTCAACAAGTGATATTTATCTTCTTGATATAAGTAATATAACTAGTTATAAATGGGTTAATTTATATGATCCTTCAACAATGATTCAAGCATTACCATCTGCATATACAACTATTATTGCAACAGTGTAAAAATTACCTCCAGAAATTATGACAATTCTAATAATAGGAACCTTTATAGGCACATTGGCTGTTGTTGGAATTTCCTACTGGTGTTGGAAAAGATTTCGTCCAAGAAGTTTCGTAGTCATGCTACTGTAGCAGCTTTAGCAACGTTTAATTCTTATATGATATCTTTATGTAACTGCACTAATATTAAATATTATACATTTTTATTACAAGTAATTATGTATTAATTTATATATGCATTGCGATATTTGAGCAAAATAAATAAATAGCATTTATGAACCGGTCTTCGAAATAAATGAATACCAAATATGCATATCATTATTTTGACTATTTTATCAAATTCAAACTGTATTAGTATTGGTTCAAACCTGGACAGGGACATTGCTATTCATAAAGAATTAAATGACAAAAATAATCATAGTTTTTATAAATATATTCACTATAATTATATATTATTTTTTTGAATAAAGATTATTAATAAAATTTTTGATATTGTTTTGATATTTGGGCAACAAATGTAAGTATTGGGATTGTAGATCTTTATCCTTTACTCGTTTATTTTATATCTTTATTTATTTATTTTATGTTTTCATTTATTTTTTATTTTCATACTTTTTTCT